TAGATAGATAGATAGACAGACAAGTTCGTGTATAGTGATTCAGACATTAATGAATAGACAATAGTGAGTCAGACTTACCTCTGCCAGTGTTGAATCGCTCACAGGGTCACTTTACCCTCCCACACAGCATTTACATCATTATCTACATTTACAGATATTCTCTCCTGGTCCTCAGCATTCCTGAACATGAAGCCAGTTGTTCTCTATCAGTTTTCGACGCATCCAGAACCTGACAATGTTTGAATATATAGTTTCAGGTTACTACCACCGGTACTCTCCCTTGAGTACGAGAGGACGAGTGTTGAAATATAAATAACTCGACCCACTTCCTGGTAACAAAATCCTGACACATTATATTCTCTCTCCTCTACGCTTGAGCCGACCCCGAGCTGTCAGATCAGCCAAACCAAGCAGTCCAAAACCAACCTCCCTGACAAGAACTGCTACCTGGAAGTGAGATGCGATACTGATGTTTGAGGTCTATGCTGTATTTGCCTCAGCTCTCTCACTTCTGCATTCTGCACTGTGTGTTGGTTTTTTTTCAGATTAGTTTTATTTTAATCTCTAGGGGCTGTGTAGAGCAAATGTCACTTGGTAGAAGTTTGATTGTTCAGGGGGGGATGTACAGCTTCTTTTCAGATATAATGAATATTTGTTCACAAACTCTCCTCTCTGCTTCAAAGTAATTTAATAGCTGAATCTGCCTGTCTTTATTAATATCTAAATGAGAATAATTACTGTATCAATAAAAAGGAAATACAGACAATTACAAGACCTCTTGAAAATATGCCTCTATATTTCTTTGCATCTATTTCTGACACACGTTTATCCTTTTTATCCTTAAGGACCTCAAGGAATTTCAAATCTAAAAGAGTCCTGGGTGAAAAGATTTACACGGCCTTATATGCTACTGTGGGTGCCCTTCATATACAGCACGTTGAACACAGTCTGAGTCAGGTGATCAAAATCATCTCAAGGCCGAAGGCTAAAACCTAAGTGCAAAAACTGAATGCAAAGAGTTTTAATTTATATATTCATGCAAAATAAAGTGTTGAGTTCCCCAAAGCCCCCTCTCTATTTTAAAATGTTTTTTAACCCTTAGTTGGATGTTTGATCTTCACTGTGCAGAATGATGTTGCATGAAGGATGTTTTCACATTCATCTGCTCAAAGTGGAAAGTTTCTCTTATTTGTGGCATCACAAATAATTTGGAGGTCTCAATTTGTCTCAAGTCTTCAATGTGCAACTTGCACAAGTGTGATATAAAAACCGAAAGCCGTGCACAGACACTGAGAACGGGCTTTACAGTTCAGTAGAAGACATCTTGTGTCCAGCAGGGAAACTTTAGAAATTAATAAAATTTACATACATATCGTACATGCATTATAGTTCCAAGCAGATTATGTATATAGGAGTCTTATGTCTGGAGGATATTTAAGTTTATTTATTTGTTTATATTATTTCCAAGTCCAACATTTCAGTCATGGATTTAGGTGAAGCATCAAATTTCAAATATGAAACATCTTTACACTGTTTTATACTCTATAACCAATCAAAAAAGGAGTCAAATTATAAACAACTGAGAATTAAACTTAACATGTTTGCGTGATTTAATTTCCCAATGCACCTTATATATATTAATGAAAAATAAACTGTACAACCTACAATTTTGCTTAAAATGTCAAATGTACTTGGACATTGTGGGATTTGAATTTTGGGTTTGGGTTATCAGTTTTTTTTATACTTTATTTTTATTGATTTTCATTTGCAACATTCAAACACCAGTAAAAACAACAATATAAAAAAAAACAATAATGCTGGATTGCCATGTCTCTACAGTTTGTTCTTATACTATTGTCAGTGTGGTAGTCCTTATCCTATCATTGGTGTGTTGTCCTGTTGTACTGCCGAGGTGCCCTTTGAGCAAGGCAACCTAACCCCAAGAAACTGCTCATGGGCGCCGCTAACGTGGCGAGCC